CAAATGTAATGGTTTAGAAACCGTGAGCTGAGTGATTAGCTGCATGCCATCGCTTTTACTTAGCGTTATAAATATATATTTAGCTTTGGAGGACACACTATGGCTAGATGAAGCCAACTCCAAGTGATGCATTTGAGCTATTTACTTCCATTTCGTATCCAGTATCAATCCATCATGGTGAAACTTTTGCCAATGGTTAGAAGGGGTTTATTTTGAGAAATGCGACTAAATATCCTTAAAGTGGAGTTCAGATCAGAATAAATGGGTTTTTTTATAAGTGTCATAATAAGTAGACGGCACTTAAGGAAAATGTACGAACCAATGGCATAAATGTTAGCAGGACAATAACTACCATGATGGAGTAAAAATACTCCAGTTAATTGAACGACTTTCCCTATTATCCGACATCATGATAAGACCTTGTTAAATTGCTCAAATTTGGAAAAGGGTTGGTCCCAAGCTGATGTATTAACTGGCACAATAAACTCTAAAAGTTTTGTTATTGGGGAGCTGAACCAGTATTTTTGGTACAAATCCTTATTTTATTTAGCAATACTAGACCAAATGTTAAAGATGCCTCCTTACTCATATTACTTGTGACTTCCTGATAAGTGAACGCATGTCGTTATATAATTATGTGAAAAATAAATCGAAAGCTTCAATTAGATGACCCTGACGAGTCGAAAAGTACAATTAACTAGTGAAAATACATACTCATATGTTCAGTAACTTTAATGGCAAAATGAAAGCTGGTTACAGACGGGCTATAAGTCAGATGAAGTCTTATAAATATTAGAACATTCAATCGAATAGTGCTGCCAATTGAAGTTTCGATTATGAGTAAATAAACGAAATGATTCATAACTTTAGGTCTAGCAAATGATTGTATAATAAAGATCTGGGAAAACAAAGATTTAGCTGTTCTTAAAATTACTACTGTACTTGTCAAACTCTTGGCATGGTACATCTGAGTAAATAGTCCTTTTGCTGTGGGAATTACTGCAATATATATTATAAAACTGCCATTACGCTTGGCGTAGCAAAAAACGGTTGTAAAAGTTATAATCATGGAAAAGTGTTTGGATGAGGGAAACAGCAAACTACTTCAGCAATGCATGAAATAAGAGGAGGTGACATCAATAAGCCGGAAATTACATTATAACATCACCTCATACGTCACTTTAATTTTGGTTATTTATGTCCTTTTACAGATGAGTGCACATCAAAAGATTCTTTATTCATTATAATAATGAGGTAAGTTTTTCTCTTATTCAAAGTTTCCTGTTTCAGATATCAAGAAGAAAATTCACAGATCTGTTTTGGAAAGTCTTCACAAATCCTGAACTTTAGTGGATTGAAAATGCTCTCTTGTCACTCTTGTGTGAACCTCCCATTCAACCACCGGATCTTTTTATTAGAATAAAGCACATTTCCATTAGCACCTTTGTTTACTGAATGTGCACCGAAATTCGTCCAGAACTTAGAGAGTCGCGCAAATTTGGCACGCCACTATTAAAAGTACAATGGTTAAAGATATTTAACTATTTAACGTATCTAATTGTCACATATCAAAATATACATACTATCAATTTGATCCTCCTTAATACGAATCTATTTGTATCCACGCGTTTTCCGTTTACGAGGTTAGGCGAAAAGTAAGTAGTGAAGTACTATTAGCTCTTAGGTACGTACTTAAACAATTTGCGCTTTTAATAATTAGGGTAAAGTTATATCGTATTAACCACTGGGGGATTTTTAGCAATTACTCAATGGGGATAAACACTGTAGATCCGCAGTGACCTCCATTATGAGAAAGTGTGGCCAATGGAATAATGTATGTCATCAGGGTTGTGGGATAGACTTACCTCCACGTGGTGCACCCTGGGCAACGTATACTCATACGGCAAAAAAGTCTATTAACTGGCAGTTGACTTTTGACTTTAAACTACCATCACCCCACTCAAGTTGACTTCTGACTTCAAACTATCATCACCCCACTGCACGTCATATTCGACCCCTTAAGCACTCATCTTACCCTTTCTGACCTTTGTGTCTGTCTCTTTCTTTTACATCTGTGAATCACTCTTCTATTCCCCCTCCCTTCTTTAATCTTACCCTTTCTGAGCCTTTGTGTCTGTTTCTTTTACCCTGCTTACCCTTTCTGAGCCTTGGTGTCTGTCTGTTTCTTTTACATCTGTGGATCACTCTTCTGTTCTCCCTCCCGAATTCTTCTCATTTTGATGTTCCTCCTCCCCTATGTGAAGCCCGAAGTGAACTAAAGGGCTAATGATAACTATCAAAACGCTTGCCATTTGATATAAATAAATAAATGTATGTCATCAAATGTGATTTTTCCCATTTAGAAAGCACATCCTTCCAATGAAACCCCCGGAAGAAACGATTTTGTTTATGGTTCACTTTCATTCTAGAGCACTTGAGTGTGATTAATTATCCAATGCTTAAATTAAAATAGTCAGTGGGTGAGTGAATAGGAGAAGAACGTGTATTGAATTGCGTTTTATTGGAAATTCGCAGAATAATGAGGCATTGGCTTGGAGTGTTTTAAATCATTTGAAACTTTATTATGGAATTTGTGGCCGTAAATTAAGTATAGCTGTCCTTGACAGACTACGTCAATCTTGCCATTTAATGTTTTAAGGAAATAACGCCATAATTGACATTATGCCACCTTTCGTCAAATGGACTGATCATTCTGCAGATCTTGCCATCTTACCCAATGTCGTTTTAATCACTTTTTAACATCCTATGTATCTTAATGGATTTTTTTAAATTTTTTTAACAAGTTTAAGGCTGAAACTTAAGCGTTTATCTAGTAAACCCTGACGCTGTTACATTGTAAGATAATATATCCAATTATGATCATAATGTAACAAAACTGATGCAATATTAACTAATAGGATGAATTATAAATGTTGAGAATTCAATAAGACCAACTTTAATTCGTAACTGTTGAATTTGAAAGTTAAAATGAACAACCATGTAGTATGAAGCGCACAAAGGAATCTCAGTCAATAATCCATGCTTGGCTCCTCATCTATATAGGCCTTCCATGTAAAACTATTCCACGTCATACGCCTGCTTCCTCTATAGCTTTGCGGTAGCTTAGCTAATCCCGCAAGCCTTTCCAAATAAGGAGAACTTCCCATTGAGATTATTGAGCACAGGTCAAGACTAATATTGCAGGATTCAGAATCGGGGTCATTAGTTGCTCAGAAATTGTTAAACGATATTACTTTAATATCTGTGCTACTCATAGCCACTTTTGTTGCTATTAAAATTAGAATATGTCGTGTCAATTAGTTGAATAATCATGTAATTCAGTTGATGTCCTTTTAATTTATGACAACTATTTCAACAGAAGTGCAGTTTAAACCCTATCTCTGACTATTTATGAAATTAACATAACCGGTACGATTTGTGTCCTCATTGGGGTACAGTTGGCTTCCCACTTCATTTGATATATTGCACAGATAACATTTGGCCTTAATTTTCTCATTAATTATGCGAAAACGATAAAACCACTTTCTTTGTGTCCTTAATAGTGAAATATTGCGAATATTTAATTATTATTACACTTAATTACAGGTTTGTATAGTCTAGGTCAGTTGCCTGCATCAACACCGATAGTGTAGCGATCAATCGCGGGGTATGTGTGGAATTATCCAGCCAATTGCCAGTCAATATTTGTGTATCGAGGTGTTAATTGTATTTAGTAACTGCAATGTTCCGTAATAAACTCCCGCCATACTATGCCTTCTATGCTCCCCGTACTCTGGACGTAGTGCCTAGTTGAACTTCTTAGAATAGCCCATAGCCTATCTGAGACTAAAGAACATAGGGCTGTTGACGTCACTCTATTCCTTAGAAATAGGTCTTCTGCATTTATTTAAGTGGTTTCATTACGGTAGCTTCTAAGTCAAGAAAGTGAAAAATTACCATTATGAAAGTACGACATCTTTGGAGAATGTCAAGCCCTCTGAATGTATAACTTTCCAGCAAACGACTTCATCTCAGTTTTAAATGCATATTCAAGCGCTCATATTGGGATGAGGAATAGCACTATAAAGTCACGTTATAAAGAAGTCTTTCCACTACCACCCACCAGTAACCGGACTTAATCAGTACAACTTGTCATTCCGTTCACTGATCACTGAACTTGTGACCTATGACTGAACACACTAATATGTTAATCGGCAACATCCACAGAATAATAAGATTCTAATGAACTCGTTCAATTCACTGCATCAAATCTACGAAATAACTTGAGCTATTGATAGAATACTAGGCTGGAAGTAAGCCCATACAGACTGGATAAAATCTGAACGATAATTCTAAGCCTAAAATAAGTTCAATTATAACGCGAGTTATTCCTAATCGCACCGTCAACACAGTAATCGAAAGAATATTTCCCGTACCCCAAAGTTCAAAACGGAACCGGAAGAAACAAAACTGCATTTCAATTGGAAGTTTATGTAAAATATAATATCTACCATGATATCTAAATAGTAATTTATTTACATGCCTCCAATTAGTCAATCAAAGCTCACTCACTTTGAGAACTAACATCAAGTACGAATAAAAAGAGAAATTATCAGTGCACAATATATGCAAGTAACTATAGTGGAGAACAAATATAGGAATTGGGGAAACAATCAGAGGCGATTTGTATAATTCCATGAAATCAAAACACCATCCGTGTTGGGCACAATATGTATCAAAATAAGAATAAAATCACTATATATTTAGACTACTTTCACCAAAAGACACACTCAACTGAAATAGCACAATTAATTGTTGAAGACAGTAGGCTAAATCAATAGGAACCCAGCGGTAGATAAGAAAAAATGGCTCCTCAAAGGCCCAATGCCTCTAAATCCAACCCCAACTTCATAACACAGCTAAACACCAAAACAGTTAATGCAACGAATAACCAAAAATACTACAATACGACCAAAAAAATATATATGCTAACAGAACAATTACAAATCAGTTATAAGTAAAATATATCCTCCAAGCCAACTTGGGAGTTGTTCAGCAGTTACATCCTTCGGCAACATTGAGAATCCAAGGAAAAGCAAGCTCTTGCATAGTGACTCTCCATCACCTGAGGGCACAGCAATAATAACTTGGCTCATTCCGACACACTCCAGCCACTCCAAACATGACGTAAATCCGCTTCGAGAAAAGCCTTTTTCGGTACTTGCTGTCCGAGGAGGTAGAAGAATTGACGTAGTGCTGCCTTCGACGTAGACAACCAACCACTGACTGGCAACACGCTTTCCTTCCGCCACCAGTACCGCCTCCATAGAAGCCAACGAGCCAGGATCCTTTACCTTCACCACCACTACCGATTTGGGTTTCTCTGATGAATAAAGAGAAACTTCGGAATTAGCGTAGCTATTCAAGTCTTCGCGACTGGATGCAGGGGTAGAACTTTCCGATGAACAGAGGCTAAATATAAGGCCGAGGCCATGAACCGCGACTCAAAGAGCACGGATGTGGCCGCTCCTCATTCTCACTCTTAGAATCTTCAAAAATCATAAAGCCGGAATGCATTGCCAACAATACAGCTCAGAAACAAGCCGAATGACTACCGCAACGACCTAAATAGCTACTATTATAAATTTAAACAATTGTCAAAAATATTTTTTGAACAAAAAATCTTTTAAAACTTCACTTTATAGTTTTTATTATTTTTTCGCTTGATTTATTCTGGACTTTAAGTTTCATTCTAAATGTCCAATCAAGAATTATAGATTACTAAGTTTTAATTATTTTATAGCGCCCTGGTTATTTTGTCTACGGTGAAACGATAACCTTCACAACTCAAACTTGTTTTATTTTTCTTATTTAATAAAACGTAAAAAATTATTATACATGTGTAACGTTTAAGTCAGTTCAAAATGGTAGTCTCATTCTCTATAATGGGCTAAGCAGAAGAATCAATTAAGATTAATGACTAAATTTCGCTTTAAATCAAGTTATTTAATTACTATCGCTCAATCTTCCTCTTTTTATTTCAGAATTTCAATGCCTTAGCAGCCCTTGTATATTTACTCAAGGAAACCATGTTTAGTAGTGCAATTTCGGCTCACGTGCCCAGCCATTGATAATAGAATGATATGTTTAGTTTCTTCATCCGAAATAGTTATTTAAGGTCTTATTAGAAAACTGGTATAAATGCTAAATAAGATAGCTTAAACTGTAAAATATTTCTTAGACTCTTCTCCGTTATAGTTAATGTTGCTATCATCCCCATACATTTTAACCACTTCAAGTACGTGTACCGGATATGCTATACCAATTAACCTTGACTATACACAGAAATCTCTATAGCAGATCTTCCAAGTTGGAAGAGCAATCGCGATGGTAGGGAGAAGGTAAACATGTTGCAATCGAAATGTTTATTGCCAATTATGGTGTTGGTAAGCATGATTAGTTCTCAAATAAATCAGCATAACTTGAGTGAACACTGATAGCAAATTATCTGAGCAATGCTCTGCACGTGCGGCCGCACACTCCAAAAGGTTTGCGTGGACATTTTACATGAGCGGATTGTGTACGCCACAATGCTCCCCTCTTAAACGCTTTAGATGAGAATATGCTCGATAATTGTACATACTCAGCTAGTCGATTGGAGGAAGTGATTTTTTGCCCATAGCAAGTGTAAATGCAAGGTTTTAGGATGATAGGATTAACAGTATCTGCGGTAAATTAGTACTAATTATGTGCGTTCCAACCGTCAGCTAAAAATACATAAATGCAGAAAATGCATAAGTAATCTTTTGGATCAATAATTATCTACATTGCCACTTATTTAAATACATTGTTCGTAGTTAGAGATGATATTTTCAGTAAATCGATGGCAGAACACACTTAGCACTTCCTACTACCAGCAGGAATGGGATATCGAAAGACCTGTTCTCAAGAGACGCTTAACAGTTTTCCCTAATTTGGTAGGAGTTTTAAAACCGTCGAGTGTCTGAGCACAACTATTTAGGCTAGAACAAGAATTAACGGAATTTTGAGAGTTTGCTTAGAGGGGAGTTAGAGACGAGAGTAGAATATAGACTTGAGAAACAATAGGGGAATTTATTAGATTAGTTGGTTCATCGTTAATCTGTGACCAGGGGTGTGGGACATTTCATCGCAGGCGCACACTAGGCTTAAAGTGCGCCGTACAACCTCGCACGCGGATTGGCTGCGGAGAAGCACAGTTAATGGCCAATAGAAAGCCTGCGTTTGTTTTTTGAAGTCGGCCATTTTGTATGATTAAGCTTTTCCTGATGAACGCAATTCGCTATCCTTATTGAGTGAATAAATGTTTGAGTGATACGGCTCTTCCTTCTGGAAGACTCGGTAAATAGAAGAATCTATCATAGAGGTTTCTGAGACTTAAGTCAAGGCTTTATTAAGATAGCAATCCTCTACAGGGGGATTATTCTTCCCAAAAGATTTGAGCTTTCATTTATTTGACCCTTCTAAATCCAAATTAAATAAATTTACATTCGCATATAAAAATGGTACTAAATAAAATTAATAATTGATTATTATTCAGTAATTACTTAATTCAAGTCAATTTGATGACGCCTTGTTGTGGATGCTACACACATAAGGCATATTCATTTCAAAATAGACTAGTGAGGAATTATCCCGAAATTTTCTAATGCACCTCAGCAATATCGAGGAAACGGTGAAAGGTGTTTATTGTGGCTGTATCGATGTCACTGAGCTTAGTCAATTAATTACGAGTTTGACCACGTTGTCCGCGCAGTGACTATTTATTATTGATTGGCTGAGAGGCCTTTGAACTAGTGATCTCACTTGATCCCTAACACGATCAGCAGTATGGCTGCACTTGATGCCTGGGGAACAGTGGCACGTCACCCGTTCCAGAAAGTTCTAGAGAGCAATGAGTTCCTTCGGTTCAGAGATGTGCTCTCCACAACCTTTATTAATGAAAATAAGTGCCCTTGATTTTAACGTAATAAATTTCATCTCTCAGATTACACCTTAGATTTTCAAAATGGGGGGGAGAACTTCTACAGATTATCGCGTTTGATTGCATCAATAAAAAAGGTTCTATAACAAAATCCAACTTCTATTCCTAATTTCTTTGCTCGATTAACATACTATGAGCCCATTCAAATATGAAATGGAAGTTATTCCCATTAATATTGAACCGTGCACTATTAGCATTTGCCTCTAGCGAAGAACATTTGCATAGGATTGGTACAACAATAAGCTATGACATGCTCATCTATCTACCTCCTATGTGGTACAAAACAGTTTTTAAAAGCCCTTTTTCTGGTCCCGAAACTCCCATTGTAGCGATTCGACAAAAAATTGTTTTATATCTCTTTTCAACTACAGTCTATTAAGTGTTATTATTAAATCAGTATTTTGGGGATATGAATTAGCTCAAAACTTCAAATGACCTCTTATCGTGTGATCCAGAAAAATTGAGCAACAGCTCCAAATATGACTAATCCCGCACAGGCCGCAAATTAGCCATTTAGAATGAACAAAAAACAGTATTTGTCAAACGAAATCACAATTTATTTGCTTTTTTTATTAGAAGTAAAAGAAAACGGTTCAGTGGTAGGGTATACACTAGAACCCTGTGAGATCCGTTACAAGAAGTGTGTACATACTCCACCAAGGCGGCAGTTGTTCATTAACTGCCTCCCTGGGCAGAATGTAGAAACCCATGAAAAGCAACTTCTTACACAGTGATTCACCATCTCTAGATGGCACGGCCACCAAAATCTGACTCATATGAACCCCCTCCAGCCATTCCAAATAGGCTGTTAATCCACTACGGGTAAAAACATGATTATGGTGAGATTCCAGGGGTGGAATTAGAACCGCCGTTGTACTGCCTCTAACATACAATACAACCCAATGTGCCCGTTCTCGGCCTTCTTTAGCAGATGAAATAGCCTCTTTTGACACAGGAGAGTCCAAATCTACAACCTCGAAAACGCGTATTCGATCTGGAATCTTCGACGACTTCAGAATAGGACCCAAATCCAGGTCAAATTCGTCGCCACTGCAGGAGCTAGCACTCGAACTCTTCAACGAGGAGACATCAAATATACGGCCGAGGCCAGGAGCCGGGACTCAGAGAGCAAGGATGGGGCCTATCTACATTACTACGGCATTTTGGAAATTCCATTAAAACAAGACCGCAGGAGAGGAAAAGCAGAAAGACAAAGCAATTTTGAAACGGACGGGTAATCTAACAAGGCATCGTCCATACTGCACACCCTACTTTTCATTGCTGACCAATTATCGCATTGCCACCACAATCTAACCCACAATAAACCAATCATAGGCGAAAGTTGCCTGCGTGTGTAGTTGGTTATGTCCAACTGCAAGCGTCATTGAGCGCGTTGTGCTGGATTAAGAAAAATCCTTGGTGCTATAATCTCAAAAAGCGAATTAAAGGATCACGAATAATTGATTTTTGAAAGAATGCAAAGAAGCAATCATTATCCCTTTAGCTGACCTCGGACTTCACAGAGGGGGGGAGGGACATCAAAGTGAGAAAAATTCAAAAGGAGGAAAAGAAGAGTGGTTCACAGACAGACAGACACAAGAGCAGTGATAAAGGCAAGACAGGTACTGTGGAAGTGGTCGAATATGATATGCAGTCGGGTCATGATAGTTTGAAGTCAGAAGTCCACTGCCGGTTTACAGACATTTTTGTCGCATGAGTACACGTTGCCCAGAGTGCAACACGTGGGGTATGTCTATCGCTCACCATGGTTTCAAGACATATTGAAATTAGATTGGTTAATGGTGGTAGCTAATTCTAAATAAAAGTTAGTAACGCAACGTGATTTTCCCAAATAAGGGCTTGAAGTTGTCACATATTTCCTACAATAGAATGCAGTTCGACTTGGTCAGAATTTTTATGTATAGCCTGTCAAGTCAAAAAAACTGTCCTAATGTAGCGGCACGAACTAACAGAATCTAGGCATACATGTTATAACTTTTTCCCGAAGTTAAAACAAAAATTCGATCGAGTTAAAACGAAACACTTTAACTTCGGCCTACTACAGTTCATTCCTCCTCACGCCTATTTTAAAAGAATTCCTACCGTTTCTCTTGTAAGCAAAATTATGACCAAAACTCAAATTTGCTAAAATTATCGCATTCAAACTAATCAGTCGATTCTTCTTAGGTTATCGATTGGCAAATTATCCAAATAGTTGTCATATGGTTTAAATTGAAAGGGAATTGCATTCTTTAAAACAATATTACTCAAATTCAACCATTAAGACAGATTGTTAGGTTCGCAAAACAGTAAATCAGTATTTCAAATAAATGCAAAAACTAAAGAGTGATCTATTTTGGTATTAGTGTGTAACAAAAAATGAGGAAAATTATTACACGTCCATAAAATCGGTTACAAGAAGGTGGTATTTGCTAAGCCACGATGGCAGCCGATTGATCACGACATCTTTTGGAAGTATCGAGAAACCAATAAAAAGTAGGTTTCGGCATATTTGATTGCTTCTTTTCCCACTTGGTACCGCAATAATGAGTTGGGTTATTCCGCACTTCTCAAGACATTCCATACAGGACGTCAGGTCACAACGTGGGAGACTATTGAATCCAAGCGGGGTAAAGATTAGAGCTGTAGTGGTATCTCTAACATATACTACCAACCACTGATCTAAATTACATCTTTCTCCGGCTGCTAGAATCGTTTCCTCCGAATTCGACTCCGTCAGGCTTGTTACTTCAATAATCCCTCCAATACATTTTGGAGTCTTAATTCCGCTCAGATTAAGATTAAAATCATCTAATTGTCGATTACGAACTCCAAAAGATTCCATAAATTGGTTATCCTCAGCAAAATCATTAGGATTGGGCCCTATAGGACTTGAACTGCCTGAAGAAGATAAAGAGACATCAAATATACGGTCGAGGCCAAGAACCAGGACTAATAGAGCAGTGGTGAGGCCGATTTTGTACCGCAAAATCCTTCTCCATTCTCAAAATGCAGCGAAAAGTAAATGGGAAAGTTCATTTCCTAACCGATTTATTTATGGTTAAATTAAGACCTTGACTCTAGCCAATGATGCTTTTGTCAGATAGAGCACTAGCCAATCACCTTACTCACTGAGGTAGGACAAGCTTTTGCGTACGCGACTACGTACAAAATAGGCTATTCTGTTTAGGGCCTAGTTATTTGCTTTTCTAGGAAAATTTGAAATTAACCATTCTTTCTTGAATTTAGAATCAAATTTCTGCCTAATCGAAACTAGCATAATCAGACATTATTAAAATGGACTCGTTTTCATGTTAATATTAACCAAGATTATAAAAAAAGAAACTCTAAATGATCTTATTTGAAGAGTCTTAGGTTGAATAGCATGCCAGCATGCTTAACAATTCACTCAAAATTTACAAATTGGTACGCCTTGGCAAAGGAATTGTGCTATTCAAGTTTTTTTTCACTCACTAATTAATTTTTGTCCAACTGATCCAGGCAAATCCACTAATTATCGAAGCACAATTTT